TAGGTACCGGTACTTATCTTGCAACCCCCTCAGTCGCCGCAGCTCCGGTCTTCCTCAATTCGCCAAAAGTTGATCGGGACGGGAATCCTTTCTCTGCCTTGGCAGCTTGACGTCTTAGTACTAATAGTATTTAGAGGGTAATTAGAGGTTTACTAATGCTTTAGTTTTATATTTAGTGTTTAACTATAAGGCTTACTTATCTTTAATTAACTACTTAATTTTATAAATAAAAGTTAAAAAGAACTTGTTCTTCTTTTTTTTTATGTTAAAATAAAAAGCATTTACTAAAATTAGAGTAATAGTAGCTAAATAGACCTCCTTTAGACCTGTTTTAGACTTTTTAATAGATAGGCAGAAGAACAATTTAAGTGTCTTTAGACTGTAGATAATAGGAGATCTGTATAATTTTAGTAGCCTTAGCAAACCCTTAATGCAGTAGATTATTAGGCTGTATAACTACTAAAATTAGTCCTTTTCCTATAGTGCGTTGCGTTGTTTAATATCTAACTCTACTTCTTTATTACGCGCAGGCTAGGTTAATTGCATAAGCAAGGGCGGCAAAGGTTTATAGGTAGGCAGATATTTGCTAGGCTATATAATCTAATTCCTCTTTGTATCTAGATAGAGTTTAAAACAACGTAACTATTTAATGCTAATAATGCAATTCTAGGAGCTAAGGTCTATAATAATAAAAAGGCAGTTTTAGATGCTTTTTTTATTAATTTGCATATGCAGGCGGATATACTAGTAGACAGGGACTTAGATTTAATCTTAAAAGCCCTTAACTATAACTTTAAATAGTAAGTGTTAAATAGAGATATAAAGGCATTAAGATAATAACTTAGTAGTTAGTAAGTTAATAAATAGAAAACTATAAGCGCTAGTATTAACTAAAAGATTTAAATAGACTTTAATGCTTTTTAAATATAAAACAGTAGAGACTTAGAAGTGTTTTCCTCTAAATAAGTGTAATAGATTAATGTTTAATAGATTATACTTACTTAAGCTTAAGATAAAGAGTTTCCCTAGGTGTTACTATTTTCTATCTAAAAGGCATTTAGATTAAAATTATTTATGTCTATAAATTCTTTTTTAGAATTTTACTACTTTACCTTTATTTTTTGTACTTTAGGGATAGAGTAGTTGCTAGCAAAATGTTTTAGTTTTCTATAATTATAATAGTTGCTAGGAGTTGTCTGTCTTTCTAGGGCAGGTGTCTAGCTAGATTATTTATAGGTAACTAACGTAGACTAGAGTACTAACAAAGGTGCAGGTCAGGGTGCACTAGAATAGTATACTGCCTTAGATGTATTACTAGAAACTTTCTAAGACTAATCTGTACTAGGTCTAATAGTAGACTATTAGGTAAGATTAACAGTTTACTTTAAAATAGCAGGGGTATTTTTTCTTTCTATGTTATAGGCTGTTAGGTGGGCTACTATAGTCTTAAAGAAGCCTTTTTAAGTGTGCTTAAAACCTAAGTTTAGTACTTTTAGGCTAAGTAGTATCTTTTTCTATAGGTAAAAAAACTATTCTGCTTTTAATATAAACTCTTTAATAGCAGCACTAATAAAGTAAGCTTTAAAAGTAGGGAATACTTTTTCTTTGCTTATTTTTAGAGTTTAAAACACCTGTTACGCCTCTATTTTTTTATTGCTAGTAATAAAGTAAGTTTATAAAAGCTTAATTATTTCTTTTACATTTTTAAACTAAAAGTAATTTAATTTAGCTAGGTATCTAGGCTCTAGGTATTCCTTCGCGATACTAGCAGTGTGTCCTTATACTAACGCTATGCGTGCGCGCTTACTCTAATAGTGATTTGCATTAATGTTAAGTCTGTCTATAATAGAGGCTTACTATTATTTAAATGTAGGTTCTTTGCTGTCTGTAAGGTTCTTAATTTTAGGCGTGTGTTTAGTAAGGTAGCTTTAAGAGAGCTTAGGGGTGCCTAAAAAGTCTTTTACTATTAGAGTAGTAAAGGTAATTTAAGGCATTATTATAAGTAATTTAGTAGTTAGTAGGGGTTAATTAGAACTAATAGTTTTTAATCTAGTTAGCTATTTAATTTATGCCTTTAATTAAGCAACTTAGTTCTTAAGGGCTATGCTGCTAGGGTTTAACTCTAAATCTAGTAGGTTTTTAGCTTCTAGTCCTATAAAAGAGGGTTTAGCTATTAAAGTTAGTAGTAGTTTAGTTTTAAGGGTAGGCATCTTGCCTTAGCTGCAGCTAGAATAGGTTGCAGTCTTTATAATAGGATCTAATAGTAGTTAAGAGTTAGGCATTAGTAGTTGTCCTTAATCTTAATAAGTTATTAGTAGTCTTTAAGTTTCTACCTTAGCGCACTCTTTGCAACTTTTTTAAAGGCAATCCTAATTGCAGGGGATAGAAAGTTCTAAACTTAAAGGCTTTAGTTAATAAAAGGTCTCTAGAATTTTATCTATACTAACTAAATAATTTAATGTAATAGTGTGTAAGAATAGTAACTTAAACTAAATTAAACACTTTTTAGAACTTAGATATAGTTAAACAAATAATTAATGTAATATTATTAATAAGGCTGTTACTAGTAAAAGTAAGTTTTCTAATATAATGTAACAGCACAGGCAAGACAATAGGTCTAAATGCGGTATAAATCTACTTAGAGGCATATAGGAGTGCGTGGGGACTTAGAGACCTAGGAATACCAATGACACCTATAGGCCTTGTACGTAGGATATCAGAAAACTACCAAGCTAGCTACAGGGCGAGGTGCGACTAAATACATAAGGGAATAGGGGTAATAGCAGGGGGCCGGGCAGAGTTGAGTCAGGGTCGAGCCAGGGTCGGAGCCGATACGGAGACCCTTCGGATAGGTTCCGGGCGACCCGAGATGGAACGATTCATGAGAATCGTTACACTAATATAGCTAATTCTTTGCGCGCTAAGCGTAATCTAGGCTATGTTTGCATAAACTAGCCTAGTACATTTGTGAAGCGTTATTTAGAGCTTAAAGTAAAGCTTTAAGCGCAAGTATAGTTAAGAGATATCTAGCTAATTATAAACCCTATCTTGCTAAAGTTGTACGTGTTATTATTCTAGATGCTATACTTAGCTTTAATATTCTCTATAAGGCTAAACCTGCCCTAAATTACCCTAGGACTCTTGTAGAGGGCTCTCTTATTGTTGTACTTACGCTTAAATGTTACTTTAAGCTCTAAATAACGCTTTACAAACGTACTAGGCTAGTTTATGTAAACATGGCCTAGATTACGCTTAGCGCGCAAAGAATTAGCTATATTAGCTATAAATGCTATCTAAGGGGAAATTCCTTGCGCATATAGCTTAAGTATAGTCTTAACAATTACCTGCTTCTTTTTATTGCCTAGCCTTTGTAATTTAGCTGTAGAATTAGCTTGTAAAGGTTGTCTAGCGCTGTAGTTATTTATTGTCTTTTACAGGACCTTACACATAGCTATAGCACATTTCTTTAAGAGTTTTATGTCTTATTTAAAAGCTTAGAGTGTAAGCTGTATCTAACGTTCTTTTAGCGCGTCTAAGTAGTGTTGTGGGGAATGCATTAGTGTAGGAAGGGTGGTTTAGTGGGGTCTTGGCAAAAGTAAGCGACTTGGGTGTGTGAGCAACTCGCCCATGAAGTACGTTATCTAGCTTTTATAAATTAACTATAAAGTTAGCTTATAAAAGTTATTTACTATGTTAGTTATTTATTATTTTTTTTAAAAAAACTTTATATACAGCTATAGCATATTACTTAAAAAGTATTACATTTTAACTATTAAAAGCTTAAAGTGTAAGCTATATCTAACATTTTTAATACATCTAAGTAGTTTAGTGTAGTCTTAGTAAAAGTAAGTAACTTAGGTGTGTAAGCAACTTAACTATAGAGTATATTATAGTTAAAAGATTTATAGCTTATTTTAAGTAATAAACAAAGTGTAAATTATTTTAAAATTTAATATATAGTAGTAGTAAATAATTTAGTTGCGACTATAAAGTTTTATAGAGTTTAGAGAGTAAAAACATTGTTAAATTAATAACTAATAAAAAGTTCTTTTATATAAAAAGTAAGTAGTAAAGGAATAGTAGTTGAGAAAGAATTATAAAAGTCTCTTAAATAGCTGGGAAGAGAAAGCCTTTCTTACACTATTATTAGCTAGAGAGATAGGGCTTGCGCTAATAAGGCTACTGGCTCGTGTTCCTATTAACTAGCAGGGGCTTGGCTCTTCTCTCCCCATCCCGTCTAAGCTTGCTGACATAAGGCCTAGTGCTTGTTTAGTTAGCCGATGCGCCTCCAGCGTCGACACCGGCCGGCTTGGACACAGCGATCCCGCGAAAAACACGACAAAACATCGAGAAATCAGATTTTGGAAAACAAGAGCGACGACGGAGCCCAAACAACAATACAGCTACAGCATTTAATACAACAGTCACTAATAGTTTTCCTAGTTAGCCCATCCACAACCGACAAAGTTTGCGACGTCCTACTTCGACGAGCCCTCGGCTGAACAGCATCACCTCTCACACGAATCACTTCACAGACATCCGGCATGCTTCCATGGATGCCACACAATATTGCAGATGATCAGACGGACTCGTCCACTGTCGCCCTACCCAGTGTCCAAGTGGGTCTGAAGAGATCCGCGCTCGAGCTCTCTTGCTCAGTAGACTCGACAGCACGCCAAAGCGGATCATTACTCTCATGGAGCTGAGTCACGACGAAATGCTGCTGCCGCTGCGTTCGGTGGCGGGTCACACCCAAAACAAGGCCACATAGGAACCTAGTGGGAGGCATCACAATATGAAAGATCATCGGAACTTAGAGAACATATTTTCAAGTCTTGAGGGCACGAGGGCAAGAAAGCATGCACGACGGCCAAACATTAGGGGGAGACTGAAGGTATTGCAGCCGCAACATACGAGGCAAAGCGCCTCTACGAACCTTAATACAACAGGGCAGAGATATGAGGCTTCGAGTACGGCACACACACGGGAATAGCAGTTTCGAAGAACACAGAACACGGGTCAAACACATCACTTCTCGAGACGCAATGTATATAGTCGTAGATAGAAGCATCTTCGTCCCTTAAAGCCATCTCAGTCTCTTCAATCTCTGCCATGTTTTATCCTTCGCTTCGTCCTTGTTAACAGGCTTATGCCTTGAATGCATGCGTCTTATATGCTCCTCCAGATTCTCCCTGCGTGTAAAACCATTGCTCGCTCGCTTACAGCTCGCGATGGGACACAGTATGCGCTTATAAGCATCGTTCTCTCCCATTTCATGTCCCTCACGTTCGTCTCGTCTCAGGCCGCCACAATCAGTGAAGCCTCGTAAGTTTTCACATCTCGGTAGAAGGCATTAATACGGGTCGCTTATGCTTGTCCATATGTTTACTATGGACACGATAGCTTATTACTAGACATTTCTCCTTAAAGTCTGTACATGGGGATACTCTAATAGCTTGTAAAAACGTTCAGACCAAATTTACAGGCATAATATGAAGTAGATAGCGTTTTACTCACTTCCATGGGCATCGACGTTTGAAAATTTCCATCTCACAGCCCACGATCCCACAAATCATCTCATTATGTTCGTTCCTCGGCGGCTCTTCCTATCTTTTGAATATTTGGTTCCCCTTTTGAGATTGAGGTGAATCGCCCGGCGAACTACCCTCAGGTACTGGCCTGCCGGGTATTCGTCAGCGGAAGCGGATAAGTATTGGAGAATGGAGGAGTGTGTTTCCCTGCGTTTGGGGGCCGCTTCACCAGGGAGCAATTCCCACGGTTTGCCGAATGTCTGCCTGAATCGAGAGCCATTATGGCACTAAGAACTATTAGTACAGTGGAAGAATAGGGAGTTGAATGTATGTCATCGTCATGTCATATATTTGGCTAGCTCGGACACTCACAGCAACATCCTGGCCTGTTGCATGGCCTTCTCCATTTTAGCTAATCTCATGCTACACCCCCCTCCCACGTACCAACCGGTAGCGCTGCCCCGTGCGCTTTCCATACAAATCGACTCTTTTCCATACCAATTTTGTCGGTGCGGGTGGGTCGCGCTACCGGTCGGTACGTGGGAGGGGGTGTACGCCTCTATATCAGGCAACATCTTCCTTTCCCAACCCTGTGTTGGCTCGCCTGTGGGGGCTCTGTCTCATTTCGACGCTGGAAGCGCGTCGGCTAACTAAACAAGCATCGGGCCATGTCTTATCACTGCTCCCAATCCTAAGCCGGGTTGAACGATAATCTGAACCCTTGTGTAATTCGCACAGCCACATATTTTATAGTAAAACATCCACTAGTGTATGAGGTCAGACGTGTAGGGTCCTTGCGCATTAGCTAAGATTAGGGATTTGCTTCCGCTACAAGTACCTATCGGCGGAGCAGCCCTGCATAAAATCACGCCCCGCAGCACGCATGGGGCTAATAATAACTTTCTAGTATATTAGAGGGAGGCTGTGAGGCTAGGGTAAGGCTATTCTACTAAAAATTAAAGCAAAAAAGCCTTAAGGTTAACGTACACCACAAGCAAGTTGCTTACACACCTGTGAGAGGTATCGAGCAGGAAGCACGAGGCGCAGAGAGGGAATGCAGGATAGGGGGTGTGTAGCAGAGCTACAAGAGAGAGAGAGAGAGAGAGTGTGTGTGTGTAAACCTTAGGGTCAGAGGCAGAGGTACAGCGTGACAACACCTAAGTTACTTACTTTTACTAAGACTACACTAACTACTTTTTTACACTAATGTATTTTTAATAACACTACTTAAATATATTAAAAGAATATTAAACATAGCTTATACTTTAACCTTTTATATAAAATATAATACTTTTTAAGTAATATACTATAGCTACATATAAAGCTTTTTAAAAAAAATAATAAATAACTAATCTACTAAATAACTTTTATAAGGTAATTTAATAGCTAACTTATAAACGCTAAATAATAATAAAAAGCATGTAATTAATAAGAATATAATTAAGCTAACTATGTAAAAATTTTCCTTTTAGCTAGTAGCTATAGCTAATATAGCTAATTTTTTACACACTAAGTATAAGTTAAGCTATGTTGGTATAAACTAGTTTAGTATATTTATTAAGTATTATTTAAAGCTTAAAGTAAAGTTTAAGTATAACTATAACTATAAAAAAGCTTTTTATAAATTTTTTTAAGTAATTTAAAACTAGTTTAGCTTTATAAAGAATATTAAAACTAAGTATAGTATCTAATATAATAACATATATAACTTTAATAAAATAAGCTTTATAATAAGCTAGATATTCACTAACTATACTTATACTTAAAACTTTATAAACATACTAAGCTAGTTTATGCTAATATAGCCTAAATGATACTTAGTGTATAAAGAATTAGCTATATTAGCTATAGCTACTAGCAAAAATAAAAATCTTATATATTTAGCTTAAGTAGATACTTAATAATTACTTACTTTTTATTATTATTTAGCTTTTATAAGTTAGCTATAAGTATCACTCTATAAAAGTTATTTAGTAGATTAGTTATTTGTTATTTTTTTTAAAAAAAAACTTTATATATTACTATAGTATATTACTTAAAAAGTATTATAATTTATTTAAAAGCTTATAGTATAAGCTATATTTAAGCTTTTTTTCACATATTTAAGTAGTGTTATTAGAAATATATTAGTGTAAAAAAAGTAGTTTAGTAAAGTCTTAGTAAAAGTAAGCAACTTAGGTGTGTAAGCAACTTGCCTGTGGTGTACGTTAGCGCAGTAGGGAGGGAAGCCTGTTATGCTACAATATAATGCGCTATATAAATTAGGCGAGGAGGCGATGATGCGAGCATAATTTTGAGATAAGAGGGATCATAGATATTTAGAGTTAGCTACAGCAGAATATTTCGTAAAATTATAGTAATATCTGTTGTGCACGTGAGCTTTCTAGTTGCTGAAGGTCAGTGTGTCTCGCTACGCAGTGAGGGATGTTAGTTTCTTTTAGAAATTGTGATGTTTTGGTATTGGGGAATGTATCACTTTTTTGATGATCAGATTCGGATGCCGGTGCGGTTCGCTAGCCGACGAATGGCTGCAGTCAAATAAAAGATATGATTCGGCGGCTCAGCCCCATTTCTACTTATCCCTGCCTCGATCTCACGATATCTGCTAGTTCGTTGGCCGCTGCTCGTATTCGATGCTCGTGGTGAACCCAATCAATCGTCTCCTTTACCTCCGGGCTCATGACGTCACTACAAGCCTGCAGGATCCGCCCAGACCATCCCGACATCCACCAACATTCATGTTCCGAAGCACGGATGAGGAGAGTGCTGTAGGAAAAGACTAGAACCGCGTCAGGATGACGATCACGGAGACGAACCCAGTAGTCATCTTCGACTGAAGCCATCCAGGCAGCGGACAATCGGTTGTAATCAAATCCTGTCATATATCGATCCAGGAATGTCTGTAACTCCTGCACTGCATTTTTGTCCGATTGGTGGCCTACTTGGTCCCGTAGCAACTGTAATGTCCGGCGCACAGAGGAATCTTGGTCTTCGGGGATAGGTGCTGGTAGGGGAGGGCTCAAGAAGACGTGCATGGGACTTTCCATGATGACTCCTCGATAGAGGCGAAAAACCGTCCGAGAACCACGTATTACATCTACCCTACTGAGAATGTCGCCGAGAGACAGTTGCTCAGTCGCTATTTCCGGAAAGGCGTAAACCCATACACAAAGGAGGATAGAGTACGCAACGATAACTTCTGCTGTCTCGGATGAGGCGCAGGCGATCATTTCCTGGAAGATTGGGAGGCTTAGACCATGATGATGGAGGGCGCGACTCCGATAGAGGTCGCGTTGGGCTGGTTCTTTCCAGGCGCAGTGAATGGCGGTCACCGCGAGGAAGCCATGCACCAGGATAATGTTGGAGGCGGCGAGAGCAGGTATGTCATGTTGCCAGACGTGGATTTGTCGCGCTCCTATAAAGAGATGCTTGCAAGTGTTAGTAACGTAGTGATGCATTAAGGTCATGTCGAACAGATCAAAAGACGACTGTAGTGCGGAGGAATCCCGAGCAACCGATGATGAAGGCGTTCCAGAGGCGTTTGAAGTTGAGAGCGGCGATTCCGGATTCGATTCCATGCGTGGATAATGGCACTTGGAGCGAGTCCTCACGCATCTTCCGCAGATCGGTTCGTCTTCGTCGCACTTTGACGAGCGAGTTAATTTGTACGGCGGGAACGAGCGTTACGTTCGAAACGTACCTTAACCCTTCGCCTCCTGCATTCGGTACACCCAAAACGAGACTTTCGGTGGAATCGGCGTGGCATCTCGATCTTCTATAGATCCCAGGAAAAACAAAGTTGGATCAAGAGGAGGAGCGGCGATGTCATTAACACTAGACAATAGATATCGGTGTGCTCGAATGAAAAGATTAAGGAAATATCGGCTGGAGATTGACTCAAGCAACGCCCATCAACGGTCTGTGGCTCTGACCTGCGGTCGGGGGTGAAATCCAGGATGCAGTTCATCCGACCATGGTTTTAGTGTCAGCAAACATGACCCCCGTAGAAAGTAAGCACTAGTCTTATACTAGCATACATCACAGGCGAGTTGCTTACACACCTAAGTTGCTTACTTTTACTAAGACTTTACTAAACTACTTTTTTTACACTAATAGATTTCTAACAACACTACTTAGACATGCAAAAGAACATTAGATATAGCTTACACTTTAGGCTTTTAAACAAAATATAACGTACCTAACAGGTTAGCCGGCCACACAGGTTGGCCAGCCACTTTTGCTAAGCCCCTACTAAACTCTACCTATCTACATAATGCCTTAACAACAACACTAGATTAAATCTTCTAAAAAACATTAAATACAGCTTACTTTTTAGGCTTTTAAATAAAACTTAAAACTCTTTTTATAACATGCTGTAGCTATTTATAATGTTTTTTACACAACACTAAGTAATTAACGCACTAGATAGCCTTTATAAGCAGAATGCTAGCCTAAATTAAGAAATCTAACTAAGCTTAAAAAAAAAGTAGTTATTAAGTATATACTTAAGCTTATTACACATAAATTTTTTTTAGGCTTATAGCTATAGCTAATATAGCTAATTTCTTACTTGCAGAGTGTAATCTAGGCTAGGTTAGCTTAAACTAGCCTAGTATATAAGTTAAGCACTGCTCTAAGTTTATAATAAAGTTTAATTATAAGTATAATTATAAAAAAGCACTTTATAAAAATCTAAAAGTTATCTAGGGCTAGTTTTACCTAGTAGCTAACATAAAAGCTAAGTATAGTATCTAGAATAAAAATAGGTATAACTTTAATAAGTTAAGCTTTATAATAAGCTAGATATTAACTAAAGTAGTTATTATAGCTTTAAAGAGATAAAAACAGCTAAAGGTAATATAGTAAAGTAATAAAAAGTAAATAATAGTTATCTAAAGTATTAATATAATAAAGTAGGCTATAAAATTATAAAGCTTTAAGTAGTAAATAAAGCTGCTATATAACATAGATTACATAAAAAAAAGTAAATTTAAGTAAAAAAGACTTTAATAGTTAAAAATAGAGCTTATCTAACTACTTTAAAAAAGTTTAAAGTATATAGTAATAAAAAGAAGCTAAAAACATAAGTGCGCGCTAAAGAAAGTAAGCTAAGTTAAAAGTAATATAAGTAGTGTAATTAAACTAAGTATAACTTACATATATATAAGTAAGTAGTAAAAGTAGACTTTAAATAATATCTTATGTTATATTACTTTATATAGGGCTAAAGTAGGCTGTTTTGCGAGAGAATAGGGTGGTTTTAGTAGAGGCTTAGCAAAAGTGGCCGGCTAACCTGTGTGGCCGGCTAACCTGTGTGGCCGGCTAACCTGTTAGGTACGTTAACACTTTTAAAATTATATACTATAGCTATATAACGTACTTCACAGGCGAGTTGCTTACACACCTAAGTTGCTTACTTTTACTAAGACCCTACTAAACTACTCTTCCTATACTAATGTATTCCTAATAACACTACTTAGACATGCTAAAAGAACATTAGATATAGCTTATACTTTAAGCTTTTAAATAAAATATAAAACTTTTAAAAAAACATGCTATAGCTATGTATAAAGTCTTTTAAAAAATAAATAGCTATAGCACTAGATAACTTTTTGTCAGATTTGCGCACCTACTGTCAAGACAGGAGGAACGCTTGACAAAAGCTGCTACATAGTACAAGCAATAAGCTTAAACAGTAAATTGCAGCAAATTACAGCATTTTGTAAGCTAGTTGCGCATAGGGCAAGTGCGTAAGGGACTTAGATTAGCAAAACAAAAAGCTAAGCAACACAAGTAGAGCAGAAAAAGGATTAATAAATTAAAATAATTAATATAATTAATTAATTATCCTATATATTATATCTAAACCTATTATTTATCTTAGGAAGCCTAAAAATAGTGCTTTAATCTAACAATTAAGAGTCTTAGTGCCTCTATTAATACAAAATAGCCACCTAGCCTCCTCAAGACGCGACAGTCGTCCTTTGAGACCACACCGACTACAGAGCCTGGATGATGCAGCTGCAATCAAGATGTGTAGCGCACAGCATCTGGCCGCAAGTGGACCCTAAGTTAACTATCTAAATAATCTCTAAACTAAGAGCTCTAGAGATGCTGCTAATAGCTAAGTTTTTACTAGCCTCTAATGTTAAAACGCCTACGCACCTAAACAAGCTATTAATAAGCAGTGTTAAAGCCTTTAAAGAAGCTATTAAATACTATAAAATTAAAGCTAACAAGTATAAGAGTAATAGACATAATTATAAAAGAGAGTAATTAAGCTTTTAATAGATTATTGTCTTTATCTAGTTAATAGTTAGCCTGCATCTGCAGTGTACATGCTGTTCCCTAGATTAACTACTTAGACAGTAGATTACAAACCTTAAAGCTATAGTAAGCGTTAACAACTAATTTAAACAAGAACGCGCACGCAACTAATATAATGCATCCCTAAAGCTGCTAAGAAACGCAAGCATATAGGACCTATAGCTAGCAGAGTATAACTACACTGCTACAGAAGCGGAGACACAAAAAGTTCTAAAAACAACGCAGTTTAATGCTATAGCAAAGGACTTTCTAACTACTATAAATAAAGTTGCCCCTTATTAGTTTATAACCTTTTAGAAAAGCAGATAGTTTGCACTAAACATAAATTAAAAAAAAATAATAAAGCGCTTCTAAGAATATATAATGTTAAATTATTTAATATATACAAGAAAGCATAAAGCTACCTTTATAACAAATAACTTATTATACTTTACTAAAAGTAGAAAGACTACCTAGGGCATAAATAAGGACACCTATAGTGCAAAAGTTGCAATGTTAAGAAAATAGAGTAGACTTTAACATTAATGTTATTAAAAAAATAATAGGAAGTTATTTTTAAGCTAAAAACTTACTAAAACAGAAGACACTAAATGTCCTACATGCAGACACATCTATGCACTAAAGGACTGCTTCTATGTCTATCTAGACAGAGCACTAGACTAGTAGATGCTAAATAAAAGAGTTAAAGAGCTTATAGCATTAAAGCGTAAGCATAACTTAGAATTTTAAGGCCTACTAAAAGAGCAGCGTAGACATAATTTAAGAATACTAATCCTAAAAAGTTTACATACACCTATGCTAGAGATATAAGAAGACTAACTTAAAAGCTAGAAAGTATTAAGAGTTAAGGCAGCTACATTACTAGCTATAGTTAATTTAAACTAGAACAGATATCTACTAAAAAAATTATTTATCCTTAACTTAGGCTTAACATGCTACATTATAAACAATTTTAATTAGATTTATAACTATTATTTACTAACACTAAAAGACTTTATCTAGTCTAGAAACTTTTATATATAGATTTAAAGCTATAAATTAATTACACTAAGCTTAAAAAGCAAGCATAGAACACATAGTTAAGCATACAGTCTTATACTTTATAACGCTGCACTGTGCCTAGACCTGCTGTGCAACCTAGTCTTATTTTGCCTACTGCAACAGAAAGGAATCTAGTAGGACACACAAGCAGAGCTAACTGCTTTAAAGGCCCTAGATAAGATAATAATTAGAAATCTTATAAAGATTTATAGCTAATAAGTGTTAGAGTACTATCTACTACAAAAGAGCTTATATTATACACACACAATTAACATAAAAACTAAATATAGTCTATAAAAAGCATTAGTAGAGCTATAGCATAAGCGTCTAGGACACCCTAGACTAGCTACACTTTAACACCTTATACAGTAAGCTAAGAGGGTGTAAATTAAAGAAATTATAATAGTCTAATATAACTTATGTAGCAGAGCTAAGATACAACAATAAATTAGCTACACACTATAAATTAGTAACAGTAGACCTAGTAAAAGACTGTTAATTAATTTCTATGCATATAAAGCATAGAGCATTATAAAAAAGCAAAGTTAAATGCTAATTACTAATAAGTATTCTAGCCTCTAGTAGGACCTCTACTTTAAGAATAATAGGCCTACTAAATTAATTATTAAAGCTTTTATAATCTTTATCCTCTTTTTAAAGAACTATTATAATATTACTATAAAAGTTATTAAAGCTAACAATAAGATTACAACAGTAAAACTAGAAGTAGAACGCTAGCTAGCATTACATAAAATAACTGTTAAGCCTTTAGCACTAGATACACAAGCCTAGAACAGAGGAGCTAAACGCTTAGAGGGTGTAAATAAGAAGAAGTTATAGGCTATGCAACTAGATGCTAACCTACTATAGAACGTATAGCCATACATTACTAGAGCTGGCGTATACCTATACAATTAGACGCTAAACTATGCTAACAACTAGAAGACACTATATAAGATCTTCTTTACACAAGTAGCTTTAAATAATAGAGTTGTTACATTAATTTAAAAGCTAAGCTTTACACATCTAAAAGCCTATAGCTGCAAAGCATTTATAATAACTAATAACACACATTAGAAAAAATCTAAGCTATAGAGGCTAGACCTAAAGGCGTAGATTAAATATCTAGTTAGGTACTAATTATTAAACATCTACTATGTATAAATACTACTGCTAGTAAAAGTAATCTATACATGTAATGTTATTTTTAACAAACACTTAATCTTTAGTAGTAAGCCTAAAGACCTAATAAATAACCTTATGCACAACATAGTAAAGGAAATTACTATATACATTAAAATAATTAAGCTTCTAACACCTAGTTATTAGCTAAAGACAGAGTTATTCTATAAAGACAACACTGCAAATAATACATTAAATTTTAACAAAGTAGACCTACTAGGCTACTATTAAGGAAGAAAGATTAAAGATAACTATCTATCTCTTCTAAACACTCTGCTACCTGCAGCATTACTTATGCAGTTAATAGCTAGAGCAGCACTAAAGCTAAGCTAAATAGAGTTGCTAAAGACTGTACTATAGGCTGCAGCCTTTATAGCTAGCATAAGATTGTTAGATTGAAGCACT